AAACTTTTTGCAACTGACATAATAATTTTTAAAAATCTATCTAAAATGGTTTCCTTTTTCTGTGTAAGAATTCGAGTCATTTTCTAGCCAGTCACAGTTTCCAGCAAAGACTTAAAATCATGTAAAAGATTCTATTGGACATTTAATTCTGAGTCTACTTGATGTATCTCGTTTATTCTTTTTCAACCACTGAGAGAAAATTTCTTATCAAATTCATTATTTGTTTGAAGTCCCTGTTACCACTGTTCACTTTATTATCTTTTACCCAACATATAAAAAAACTTTGTTTTTCCTGCTGATTATAAGTAGCTATCCATTGTGAAATTTCTGATGCCTCAGATTTTCTTTATGATTCTGCATATCTACTTGATTCTGCACAGTGGAATTCCTCTATTTTAAATCTAAAAATTTGTATTTATTTTTTAAACTAGAGAAACAATCTAACTATGAAAAGAAGAGTTTCAATTTAATTGCACAACATATCATGATAACTTGTCCCGTCTGCAAAAGACATTCAAATAAACACATTCCGGTGTTGCAATAGCGCATAGGCAGAGAGCGCCGTCCCTGTGGGGTCAGTCCCTCGATTCCCCACCAGGTGGGTGAGGTGCTCGTGTGTGGCAGTAGGACTCGCTTGCCTGCCCCGCGCACGACAGCGGGGGTGCCTGGAGAGACAGAGGCTGGTGTGACCTGCACGGTGGCGGCCAGAACAATGGTGCCCGAACGTATTCACGTTCTTTTTTTTTTTTTTGGAACTGAACCAGGAACTGAACCAAGAATTAAACTGGCAACCCTTGGCTTCGCGGGACAGTGGTCCAAATGACGGAGCCACACGGGCCAAGACCAAACGTGCTCACATTCTAACCCCTGGAATCTATGACTACGTTGCCTTTCATGGCAAAGGGGGAGAGGGCTGCAGAGGCAGGAATGGCTGTTGGCTGACTTTGAAATGAGATGATGCTGCTGACGGCCCAGTGAAGTCATGATGGTCCGTAAAGATGGAGAGCCTTCCTTGGCTGTGGTCAGATGGAGCTGTGACAGCAGTCGGAGAGATTCGACACCCCTGCCTTTGAGGACAGAGGAGGGTGGAGCCAGGGCTGCGCCCCTAGAGGCGGGAAAAGGCGCGGGAGCCTCCAGAAGGATCGCAGCTCGGCTGCCACTTTGATGTGAGCTGAGTGAGACCCTGGTCGAGCTCCCGATCTCTGCAACTGGGACATAAAACATTTGTATTGGTTTAGGCGATAAAGTTGCTGCTAATTGATCGTGGCAGCAATGGGGGACTAATACAGTAGTTTGACGAAACAGTGAAGTCGCACAGGAAAATATTTTGCAACTCATTTCTAACGTTCGAGTTTATTAAACTTAAATAAAATGTAATAAGTCAGTTCCCCAGTTGCTCCATGCGCATTGCAGTTACTCAGTAACCACGTGTTCCTAACGGCGCCCAAATGGGACGGTTCAGGCCAGGCTACTTCTGCCTTGGTGTTTGGGAGCTGCAGTGTGGTGCGTTCTGGGTTGGAGGCGGGGACCAGATTTGCCACTGCCGTAAACTCGTGGGGCCATCTGCCCTGTGTCTGGGCTGCACCAGTTTTGAAAATGTGATTTAAATGTCAAGTTCTGTATCAGGATGGATTTTGGAGGCCCCTTCTTTGGACAGACTGTGCTGGCTGGAGAGGGCCGGAGAGCATCTTAAAAGAAAATGACATCCCTGTTTCCTGAGGACTCAGACCCAAGATGCAGCCTGTGGTTGCTGACTAAGCGGCTGATGCCCCGGATTTCCCACGCGCTCTTCCAAGGCCTGACTCCGCTCCCAGCAGGAGGTCAGCAAGGGCTGGGGAACCACATTATTTGCCAATTGGTGTTGATTTCCGTCTCTTCTTAGGGCATAACTGGCTACAAATGGCCCCATCTCCAGCACCCCCCCACCCCTCCCCTGTGCAAGCTCAAGGCTGGTGGAGGTAGTTTGGGGGAGTTTTTTGAGTTGAGACAGCTGCAGAGCTCATAAAATCAGGGGTTGCCAAAAATGAGCAAAGTGAGGCTTAGGGGCAGGGGAGGGACTGAGTGGGTGCCAGCTGCAGCCTAGTTCCGAGGTTTCTGTGATCAAAGGCAATACCCTAGGGCCTCATCTAGAGCTTGCCCTTGAGGGCATAGGGGTCAAGGTTAGAGAGGGGTGGGGGTGGGCAAGGGCTCTTGGAAGTTTGTGGGAGAAACACAACTCCAGTATGCCTTTTGAAGTCCTTTCCAGCAAAAACCTCATCATCTACAAAGTATTTCCTTCTCTCCCCTCCTCTTACCTCTCCTCTCTCTGCTTTTCTCTCATCTTTTCCATTTCTGCTGCCTCCCTCTCTTTCCTTTTTGACCCTGGGCTTTGCCACAAGGTAAATGGCACCAAGTTAAACCAGGAGTGGGAACTCCAGTCACTTCTTCTTTTTACTGGAAATGTTAACAACTTGCCTGTTTTTCCCCATTAAACCACCTATGTTTATTGAAAACATCTGGCCCTGTTCCGGTTGGCCCGCCAGTGGGTTGGTTGTAGCACTTCTGGTGCACCAAAAGGAGGCAGGTTCAATTCCCTGTCAGGGTACCTACGGGAGGCAGCCGGTGAATATTTCTTTCTCACATCAGTGTTCCTCTCTCTCTCTCCCTCTCTTCCTTCCTCTTCTCCAAAATTAATAAATATATCCCTGGGTGAGGGTTTTTTTTTTAAAGGAAACATCTGAAGAATCAAGTAAAACAAAAAAAGAAAAGCCACCTGTAATTATTCTTATTAGAGAAAAACGCTATGAAGTTTGTGGTGTGTTCTTTGAAGTCTGTGTCGTGTGTGGCTGAAAGTGTGGTTACAATAATGGAAGTCAGTGGGCAGTTTTATATCCTCCCCCCTTCTTCACCCGTGACAGTGGATATCATAGATGCTAAGCATTTTCCAAAAACCGATTGTTTATGGCTGAGTAGTTTTCTATCCTATGGACATACATACTGTCTTTTACTTGTTTATAAGCTTCTAGTTGTCCCCCCTCCCACCACTAACCGAGTTTGCTAGTTGCCTACCCAAGATCCATCTTCATTCTTCTTCTTTAGTTAAAGAACACTGATTTTATTGTGAATGGTAATGGGCTTATCTGAAAGACAACATATCCCAAACTCTTTTGCAGCCAGGGGTAGCTAGTGATATAGAAGTTGTTTGTTCCCCTAGGAATGCACATGAAGAGGGTCTTTTCTTTTATCTGGCATGGAATGCAGATGATGTGGCTGGAGCACCAGCAGCCATGTTGGACCATAGAAGATTTTTTTTTAATCTGGCATGGAATGCAGATGATGTGGCTGGAGCACCAGCAGCTATGCTGGACCATAGAAGACCTTGGGGAAGGAAGCTGTGCACTGAAGACAGAGAAAGAGGAGAGAAGGCAATTGGGTCCCAGAGAACAATGCGTGATCACCACACCTGAATCATCTACCTCAGTGAAGGGGAAATAAACTCCCATATTGTTTGCCTTCCACTTCTTACTAGTAGCTGCCTGTGATTCCTACAACAGATTAATTCGTGTTACATTCAGATACAAAGGTAATTTATAGAATGACTGTTAGTACCAGTTACAATGGAGATGAAGATGGACCAGTGAACACAGCAGAAAAACCCCTGTCTTCATGGAGCTGACATTTGAGTGCGGAGAAACAGGAGGGCTTAGAGAGGTAAACAGGTGAAACGTAGAGTATGTTAGATAATATACTAAGGATAAAAAATAAAGTAGGGCAAGGGGATGTGTTATATTTGGGGGCTTGGGGTGATGTTAAAATTATGAGTAATTCAGGGGAAGCCTTGCTAATATAACTATTTACATTAATAAATGCCTGGAGAATTCAAAATGGCACTTTTTATGTCATGATGCACTTTTTACGTGTTTTAATGCTTAGCAATTCGTGGCTAATGAATGGGGTTTGTAGAGGAATCAGCCACTAGGCTCTTCTTGTGAGGATTGTCTGGGATGTAATATGAACGGAACTTCTTCCTGTTGCCAGTAAAAGAAATTCAACTCAAAAAGAGGCTTGAGAAAGCAAAAACCTCATGATTCACAAAATTAAGATATCCTGGGGGTGGTCTAGGCATGGCTGAGCCCAGGTGCTCAGAAATGTCTCCGGGACTCTGTCCTCTCCACCTGTCGGGCTTCTCTCTGTGCCCGCACAGCTCTCAGCCCCCTTACCCCTGCCCACCTTGGGAGGGAGCTGGGGCTCTTGCTGCTGCAGACTGAGGCTCCAGCAGCCCAGGTAGTTGCTGCAAATATCCCAGGGCTCAGTCTCATTGGGTGAGGTTGGGTCACGTGCTCATTCCTGAACCAATCCCTAGGCTCACTGGAATCAGACAGGCTGATAGGCTGATGGGCTAATGGGCGGGGCTGATGTCACAGGGTCCTTTCAGAAGCTGGAAGGCTGGGCTGACCCACAAACTCAGAGCGGAAGTGCTTGTTCCCCAGGAAGCCACGAGCTCATACTGAAGGAAGGGGCAGAAGATGCCAGGCAGCCTCTTCCCTGGCCTCGGGCTCCACCCTCGAGACTCCTTGGGCCTTGGGAAAAGTCAAATCCATTTTCTCTCCAGCTTTCCTTTGCCTGGTGATTTTTTTTCCCCATTTTCCAAATGAACAACAAAATGCACAAAGACCATAAATTATCAACAAGCCGTTCAAATGAGGCGAGTGATGGCAATGAGTAAAATCTAATTAAGCAGCTTGAGATCTAAGTGATATTGTTATTAAAGTGCCACGTTAACAGAGCGCCTGATCAGCTGTCTAATCTGTTCTGCGCATTCCTCAGAGGCGAGCTCTGTGCTGATTGACGGGGAGGTCCGTTCATCCTGTGAGAAGAGAGAGACGCAGCTCCAGCAGAGGGAGGAGGAGGAGGTTCAGGAGGAGGCTTTGCCCTCGTCAACCGCCCTCCTGGCCCCCCCCCCCCCCCCCAGTCTGCACTTGGTCCACAGCCATCAGTCACAGCCGGGGCTGCAGACTGTGGAATGGCGCCCTTGGGAGGCATGATCACCTGCTTGGGAAGACCTCCTGGGTCTTCCGCTACCGAGGCTTCCAGAGAGAGGCTCTTGGTAAGGAGGCACCAGGAACCTCTGAGCTGGGGGTCCCTGGCAGATGGGGGTGGAGTGAGACCAGGCAGGAGCCCCCATCTCTGCAGGGAGGTCTCCCTCTGGGCCACTGCTGGGCTTGTCCACTTGCACTGCAGTAGGTGGAGTTTGGTGATGACATTTTAGCAGAGATGGGTGAGTCACCTCGCTTTCCGGGGTCTGGGGGACAGACAGGCATGGAGGGCCGAGCTGCATGCCCAAGGCCACTGGGCGGGAGGTGGCGGCCCCAGGGAGACCCGAGGTGGCCCAGCCCAGAATCCAGGGTATAGCCCAGCCTTGCTGTCCCAAGAAGGGTGAGACACTGAGCCACAGCTGTGGCACTCATCCCGATGCCCAGGCCAGCTGAGGGGGCTTTGTCGTCTCCACTGCCCACACGTGACCCCAACGGGGCCTCAGCCTCGATGAACACGGCAAAGCGGAGTGGCGCGTCCTTGCCTCCCCGGACAGACCCGGGAAGGAAGGCGCGGAGGGTCCGGGAAACCCCAGCTGCTCTGACTCCTTCTGCCGGTGGGTCCCCTTCCTTCTGGCCTCCATTCTTCCCTTTGTCGCAGCCTCTGCGTCACCGGGAAGGGACCAAAGAGCTTCACTTGGTAATTTTCATGGTTTGGCTCTTCTTGGCAAGTCTCCCCCACCCCAAGTCTTGTCTCCTTTCTCTGTTCTCTCTGGATCATTCCAGGTGGCAAGTAATCCCTGGAAGTGGCTTAACTCTCAAAACACATAGCCCCGTGGAAGGAGCCTGGGCCCCCGATCTCACACATGCGGGCTGTGTGACCTTGGAGAAGTCACTCGCCATCTCTGAACCTCCCTCTCCCACCGTCGGTGAAACGGAGACCCTAGCGCTCTTCGGCATGAAACAGGTCACTGATGAGAGCTCGTAGCGCAGCTGGCGTTAGTCCGTCTCCCTTTGGTGGACGTGATGCTTTTCAGGAGGGCTCACCTCTGAATTCGCCCTCAGGAGCCTTTGGTGGGTACACAAGTCACACAACTCTCTGCACCTCTGGCCCCCTAGTTGCTAGTAAAAGTCTGAGCTCGTTCTCATTCCGGCTCTTCAGGCTGTTCAGGCTCTTAGGGCCGGGCCTCTGCCCTGTGCTGGAGAAGAAACCGCCTTCCCTCCGCGACCAGATCCACACCGGAGTGGCACAGATGGACGTTGCCTCACTGGGACACCTTCTGGGGTGTGTCTGTGCACTACGGTCCCTGAAACACCTGGTCCCTTCAGGAGGACAGACCAGTGAGACACGGGAGAGCAGAGAGACCTGACAGCGCTGTCACACCACGTGGGGTCCCTGGATCAGCAGCAGCAGCGTCACCAGGAGCTCGTTGGGGCGACCCCTGTCCCACCCCTTCAGCAGGTGAGCCAGCAGGCAGCGCCTCTCACTGACCTCCCCTGGTGGGGGCACCTGAGGCTCACCCTGGTGCCTTCTTGCCATATGTGGGGAGGGAGGCGGAGGAGCAGGGGGTTCTAAGTGACAGAATAGAGATGGCCTTTCTTTGCCCCAGAAAGGCCATCTGCTTTACTGTATTGGGGTGCCCTGCGTGTATTCTTGACCCAGTGGGGCCACAGTACTTAGGTCTGGTCAACGCAGTGGCGTGCCCACCCTGGGGAGCATGTGGCAGGGCGTCAAGAGGGAAGGGAAGCAAAGAGGTAACTGCCCGAGACAGGGCTCTGGGAGCGCACTTGAGGGTCAGCGGGTGCCCCTGAGCAGAGGATGGCAGCCCAGGGCGAAGCCCCAGGGGCCAGACGGTCACCGCTCTGAACCCACGTCTCACTTCACTCCTGGCCCCGCTTGGCTCTGTGATGGACGTGAGCTCGGGCAGCCCTGGGGAAAATCCCGAATGCCTGGGCTCCTTTCCTGGGGCTCCTGCGGCAAAACGACCACCAGCAGGTGCTTTGAATGACAGAAACCCATTGTCTTCTGGTTTGGGGGGCCAGATGTCCCAAATCAGGGTGTGGGCAAGGCTCCCCTCCCCCTCAAGGCTCCAGAGAAGATTCCTCTCCTCCCCTCTTCCTCTGGGGATCCTGGTCCGCCACGGCTTGTGGCTGCAGCACCGCAGTCTGTGCCCCTGCCTGCGTCCTCTCCTCTTCAAGGACATCAGTCAGTGGGTTTAGGGCCCATTCCAGTGCGGTGGCACCGGTCCCAACTGGGCGTACCTGCAAAGGCCCTCTTTCCAAGGAAGGTCACCCCCTGAGGCTCTGGGAGGGTGTGAAGTTTGGAGAGGACACCATTTGACCCCCTACCACACCCCAGGGAGGTTTTGGAAACACTGGCCTAGCCTCCCTGTATATCTGCCTTATTCCTTCATCTGCTATTGAGTTATATAAAAAAAAAGTTAATGGGGATCTTGAGCAGATTTGAAATGTCCCTCCTCTCACATGGGACTTAGCAGACTTTGCTTTTTGGCTGCAAGAGTGCACATATTTAATGTCTGCAGACAAGGGAGGGAGACCTGGAGGGCAGGCCTCATCACATACTTATATTTTGTGATAATCTGGTTTGCAAACCCGCCGGGGCACTGGCAGAAGCTGAGACCCCTCCTTCTGTGGTGCTATTGATAATGGACACAGTTCATTGTCTTTTACAAAGTACAATAGAGCTAAAAAGGCACTCTCGGCAGTGTCATGAGAGTCCTCTGTCCCCAGGGCGCCTGTCCCTGGCAGCCACCATCCGCTTCCCTTGGAGAGCACCCCAATGCAGCAGTTTGGGGGGCAGAACCTGGGTCTCTGCCCCAGCAGGGTCTGCTGGTGGTGTGTCCTCCCCCCTCCAAGTCACAGCAACTTTGTCTGTCAAACGGCATTAATTTAGTCCACACAGAGGAACCGCCTGCCACCGTGTGCCGACACAGGGTCGAGTGCCGATCTGTCCTCACCAACTCTCTTCAGACAACAGACAAATAAGCGAGTCTATACACAGTGTGGCACCCAGCAGAGAGAGGCACTGTAGGGGAAGGGAAGGTGATGTGAGTCAAGAGGCTGAAGGTCATTCGGTTTTTGTTTACCTGAGCTATCAGAGAAGGCTGCCTGGAAGAGGTGGCGTTTGAGCAGGAATAGGAGGAAGCCAGAAAGAGAACCTTGGGGCTATTTGAGGAAGAGCAACCCATACAAAGGGCACCTCGAGTGCAGGGCTCTGAGGAGGGTCCTTGCTGGCGGAGCTGAGTGGGTGACAAGAGGGCGTGAGCCATGAGACCCACTGGGCTGGGGGCAGAGCACGGGGACTTGCGGGCCCAGGAGAGTAGGTGTGGGACGAGGAGCCCCTGGAGGTTTGGGGGCTGGCTGAGGACAGGCTCAGACTCCCATGTGCTCTGGCGGTGGGCAGGAGGCAGGACAGTGGAGTGGGAGGGGAGAAGCCGGGAGACCTGGTGAGGTGCCAGCGGACAACCTGCTGTAACAGGCTTCAGCACTGTGGGGCGTCGGCTTCCCAGCCTCTGGGAGACCCCACGCTAACAGAGAACTCTATGGAGAAGGGAGCGCGTGATCCATTCATTCACCATTCATTCATTCAGTGCCTACTGAGCTCCTGCCGGGGACAGTGGGGAGCAGAAGCAGAACTGGCCTGCCCAGGGGTGCTCACTGGCCCGGGGCAGCATGCAGGCTTCGGCTGGGTCCACGATCAGAGTGACAAGGTCCCTGTAAAAGAGTCGGTCACTCGCACTTTCCCGAGCAGGGCAGGACGCAGGTGTTGGGGCCACCCCCCTCGGCCCTCAGGTCCCAGCAATACATCTGTATTTTTGTTTACTGATGTGATATTTGTGCCCCTCCTCCCAGGAGGAGCCCGAGGCCGCACAGTAAAAGGGAAAGAAATGGTAACACCTGAAAAGCCGCGCAGACAAATCAGTAATAGATGCACCTCACTGATCCAGGAACCTGGCCACATCTGCCCTTCACCTCCCGGTCCCAGCAGACGGGGCGGCACAGTGAGAGGCGGACACCTCTGACCAGCTCCCAACCCCCCTTTTGCTGACCGGGGTGCCGGCCGGCGAGGGAGCGCTGATCTCCATAGTGGGAGGGGCAGGGTCTCCATGCCACACAGGATGCCCATGCCTCCGAGAGCCGGAACGTGACTCTGAACGAGCCAGAGAGAGTGGTGTGCCCAGGAGAGAGAAACTGCCTAAGCCACCCCCGGCCACGGGAGCTGTCCGGAACGTCTCTGGAAATCTCACCGGACACCCACTGCAGGAGGTGGTGCTGAGCACGCAGGGGTGAGGCAGGCATGTCCAGGTGGGGACAGCAGTGTCACGGTGACACCGTAGCAGCACCACTGCGGTGGCTACATCTGGGGGGACCCTGAAAGCCAGCTGAGTCCAGAGGCAGCAGTGCCCTGGACTGCCAAGGTGGGCCTGCCTGGCACCTGTCCCCTGGCCTTTTTGGCTTGAGCACCCTGATTCTGTTCTGGGGACCTGCTTTTTCTGGACCAGAGTGCAGGGACTCAGGGACCAGTGTGGTGACCCTGCAACAGAAGCACCTCTGGGGGCAACAGAGGGCCAGGGAGGAGGACACGTGTGGGGCAGGACATTAGTATTGCAGGGGAAGCAGACCTCGAAGCCATCTGAACATTAAAGTTTTCACCATCACGAGCCCATACGTCCAGGGCTGCTGCCCGGGAGCAGGGCCGTTTTTCTCCTCCGAAAGGTCAGCGACTTGTCTCAGCTGACGACGTCACTGAGCAGTGCAGAGAGGCAGACCCTGCTTACCGACATCCCTGTGTCCCCAGCTCTGGGAGACAGGAAATCTCCCAGAGACCCATCCATCACCTGCTTGCAGCTGGAGCTGGGAAACGAAAGAGACTCGTCCGTACTCCCGATCAATGCCCGTCTGCCATGGCTGTCGATACCGCCCGGCGGCCCCATCTTCCCTGTGACAGGGGGCACCGGGGGTCAGGTGGGGGATGCTCTCGGGGAGGTAAGGTGGCTGCTCGTCCTGAGCTGCCTCTCTGGGCTGGAATTAAGTCGGCTCTTTGTCTAATGAAACTGACTCCAAGGGTCCTGTGTACACAGACTCAGTGGCTCTCGGGAGAAGCAATGACAGGCTGTGACATCGAAGCCATGCACGCTTGCAGCCTCGCCTCCCTCACCCTCAGCCAGCTCTGTCAGGCTGCTCCGGGGACACCGTGCATGCCGAGGGAGCAGCCCCCGGTCTCCAACTTCCCCGTTCTCCTGATGGAGAGACCAAGGCACTAAAAGGTTTAGAAAGTCACTCGCAGCTCCAGGTTCTAGAGTGGTCCTCGTGTCCGTCCGGAGTGGAGGCCGACCCCCAGAGGGGATGCGCTGCAACAACCAGGGCATCTCATGCGGGCAAAGCTCTGTGCTGGACTGAGTCCCAGTTCCACACATGGGGATGGAGAGTCGGACTGGGCCAGCAAGAGGCAGGCAGAGTGCTATCCCCACAGGCTGTAACCAAGGGGTGCGGGGACTCTTGAAGTAAAACCAGCCACCAGGGTAGCTGGGGAGGGGCGGGGGTGGTCCTCTGGGGACAGGATCCATGCCAAAGCAAAACCCAGATGAGGCAGCTGCTTCCCTTGAGGAGGGGTCCAGAGTTGGCTCAGATTTGCAGATGAGCCGGGGTGGGGGTGAACAGCCTGGGCCATCAGAAACTGAGTGAGGAAGCCTGCCAGCAAAGACACGGGAACTTAATTCTCCGAGAAGCACAGAAGGTGAGAAGCCACACTTAGTGGAAACTCAGCAGGGTGTGGGGGTCACACTCCGGGCCAAAGGGTGGGTGCTCCCTGCCTGGACAGGGCCTGGTCGGAACTGCTGGTCAGCCCTGTGTCTCCAACTCCGCTCCCACACCTGTTTGTTTGCTCACGACTACAGGCCCCTCGTGGGGGCAGAGCCCTGCCCGGGGCCCACCCATCAGAATCACATGCCGGTTTCTCAGGTTCCAGGGCCCCCCAAAGCCTCCTGGGGTCCTCACTCAGAAAGAATCCCTTTCCTCTCACAAGCATCTTTGGCCTCCTTTTTTGACAGTTACGTACAGCGTGTCTCATCTTCCTTCCCCCCAGACGGTCCCAGGAGCCCCAGACTTGGCCAAGCCTGGTGGAAGGAAGGAAATAAGATTTCAACTGAACACGAGTTGGATTTCTAAGCTGGGCCACTGGACACGTGAGCAGAAATGATGGAGCTGCCCAGGTTGCCATCAAAGGCTGGGGGGGGGCTCGGGTTTCACTGCAAAACCAGAGACCCCAACATAACACTGCCCCAAACAGGACGGAGGACGATTTTTCTTAAAAATGTCTGGAGGTGAGGCCCGGGGCTGAGGCTGCAGCCTTGTGCCATGAAGCTGCCAGACCGGCCTCTTCCTGCTTCCTGCGCCGCCGTCTTTAGAGGGCGACTCTTGTCTTCACAGCCCAGTGTTTTGGCCACTTTGATCCGAGTGCAGTGGTTTGTCATCGTTTTAATTTGCCCCGGTGACATAGAATGGGAAGCGTCTTTTCATGCGTTTATTTACCATCTGTGTCTCTTCTTTGGTGAGGTATCTGTGACTGGGTGTTTTCTTTGTTTTTGCTTTTTGTGTTTTTTTTTTTTTTACTTATTTACTTCTAGAGAGAGGGGAAGGGAGGGAGAATGAGGGAGAGAAACATCAATGTGTGGTTGCCTCTTGCACGCCCCTGCTGGGGACCTGGCCCGCAACCCAGGCATGTGCCCTGACTGGGAATCAAACTGGTAACTGGTAACTACTTGGTTCACAGGCCTGCACTCAATCCACTGAGCCACACCAGCCAGGGCCATTATTGGACATTTCTTACAGAACTCTTCACACTCTCACCATGCGATCCAGCAATCACACTCCTTGGTATTTACTTAAATGAGTTAAAAACTCACGTCCACACAAAACCCATGCACGGCTGTTTATAGCAGCTTGAGCCATAATTGTCAGAACTTGGGGACAACCAACACGCTCTTCGGCAGACGAAGAGATAAGCAAACTGCGGTGCACTCGGACGATGGGAAACCACTCGGCGCTAGAAAGCCGTGAGCTGTCAAATTACAGAAAGACTCGGAACGGAAGAAACTTACAAGTGCACACCACCAAGTGAGAGAAGCCGCTCGGGAAAGCAACACAGTATTTAATCCCAACTACGCGACATTCTAGAAAAAGCAAAACTACAGAGACGATGAAAAGATCCCCGGTTGCCAGGGGCTGGAGTGTGGGGAGGGGCCAGCAGGCGCAGCACAGAAGGGTTTTAGGGAAACGGAACCACTCTGTGTGACAGTACGCACATCTGTCCACACCCATAGAACATGCAATGCCAGGAGTGAACGCTAGGGGGAGCTGTGGGCTCAGGGCGATGACGTGGGTGAAGGTTCATCAGTGGGGGCGTTGATAATGGGGGGTGCGCATGTGGGCAGGGCGAGATGGGACATCTCTGCGCCTGCCCCTCACGTCCTCTGTGAGCCTAAAACTGCTCTAAAACGTTGATCTCGTGACACAGGTCATTTTGAATCTCTACGTCTGTCAAAGAGGAAATTCAGTTAGAGTCTTAGCTCTAGCAAATCAAAAGTTCAGATTTATTGGAATTTTAAAACAAGAGACGAAGTTTTCCTTAATATTTTACTTCCACTGTGCGATGCATGTACACAGTTGCCGTTCGGTTTCCTGGAGCCAACTCTGAAAACGGCAGGGAGACGGCAGTTGAGATCCTGTCCTGCTCATGGACACAGGCGGTGGATCCCACCCGTGTATAGAACCGCGGGAGGGAGGCTGAGAGTCTCGTGATCTCATGTCCTTGGCCGCTTGGTTGAGTCAGGAAAGAGTTTTACGAAGATTGGCTGCAGTACTAACTCCAGCTCGAAATTTCTTTGCATCCGAAGATACACACTTGCTAACCGTTCGATAACCCAAGACAAAAACCGGGAGTCTGGCTTCAAGCTTTCTCACCATCATCACGTTAACCTACAGAAGAGCTAAATGCGAAGCTCCAAAGGGGTCAAAGCCATTCGTCAGCAACCTCGCTGGACAGGTGCGAGAATGGACGGTGCCGACGTTGGAAACTGTCACAACTCAAATCGATAATAACGACTTCACGTTTTCCTGACATGAATCAATGTGCAGAAGGTTTTCATTGTGATTGGCAACACTACATAACAATTTACATAAATCATCAAAAAAAAAAAGCCCATAAACACTGAAGAGTGCTTCTCTTTGCTGAGACGGGTCAGTCTGGAGATGCTTCCCAGTTTCCACGCCGCCGCCCTGGCGGTCCAGGCTCCCGGCCCCGCTGCACTAGGGGACTCGCGGCACGTGGGGCGTTTGAAAACCCATACACTTTCCCTACAAAGGGAAATCGCCTCGAAAAGAGACAGGCCGGTTTCGTCCACGGGATGTGACGCGAGAGGAAAAGGACTGGCGTGCACAGCCCAGTTCCTGGGAAACTTAGTGTTTTTGGAGCAACTCAGACGTGGGAGTCTACTCTTCCGACTGTGAACGTCGCAAAATCCAAATAGCGACCAGCTATTTCTGACCCAGGCAGCTAAATTGAAACGCGTATGCGGTAAGTGTGGAACACGCACACTAGATTTTAAAGACTGCAAGCCACACAAAAGGAATGTAAAGTGTCTCATCAATCATTTTCATATTTATCACGTGTTGAAATGATAATTTGGGGTAGACGAAATATATTTTAAAAATTAATTGCATCTGTTTCTGATTTTTTTTACTAGAAAATTTGAAATCACACATGTGGCTCTCATTATATCCCTCCCAAACGAGGCAGCTGAACTTTCCTTCCAGAGAAACCAAAGTTCGTAGTAAGGAGACGGCCTCTCCTACCGCTCCTTGTTTCGAACCAGGGCTCCCAGTCCGTTCTCGTAAAGGCTGCAGAATGGGGTTAAATCCAGTCAGTAAATTTTGATTTGGTTTCTGCTGGGTGTTAAAAAAACAGTGAGATGGCAGCACAGCAGAATCGAAGTTACTCCCAAGCATTCGATTCTCAGCCTCCTCTGAACAACCAGGTCTGGCCAGTCTGCGTGCTCGAGTCCAAGTGGCGGTGCCTGGAGTCGAACCCGAGGCCAGCGGGCCTCCCCTCCCCCGGGCAGCTTCTGTCCATGAGACAGTGCATCAGAGTTGGTGTCCAGAGTGGGCCAACTTCATTCAATGGATCAGGAAGGCTTAGAGCATTTCCGATGGTCTGATAAAGTCTAAATGGAATAACTGCTTCGGGGCTGGAACCCGGGTCACGTCACGATCACTTCGACTATGTGTTATGGTAGCTCTTCGACAACTGTCATGATTCCTCCCATAAAGTTTTAAATGTCTTTATGGTTATTCTACGTAGGGAATTTTTTAGGGCTTCTTGAGTCACCTTTACGTATTTCTATTATTCAAGAAAGGCATCTCACATTTCACTAGATTTTTAAAAATATTCTCTTCTAAATCAGGTGCCAGTCTGACCACCCCCCAAGGCCCGTGAACCCATGTTACCCGCGCCCCTGCCCGCCCCCCTGCACTTCAGCCTCACTGGCTTCCTCCATCTTCCGGGGACACACTAAGACCACGTTCCCCACCCCGAGTCCCCACTTGCTGTTCCCTTCACCTGGACTGTCATTCCGGCCTGGGAGTGCCACCTCCCTCCCTGGCCCTCCACTCCACCCCCATCTCAGCCACAGCCACGCCCCCCGGTGACTCCCCCACCTGCTCACACTCACGTAGCCCTGCCCGCCCCCACCATGGTCCATCAGTTACTGTCTCATGATCTCCGGGGCCACCTTGGCCAGCTGCGGGGTCTTGTGTTAATAACCTGATTTTGTCAGCTTCGTCCCCTGTCCCTGCTCCCAGTTAGAACATCTTCAAGGACAGAAGGGCTTCACTCCTGCTTGGAATACAGTGAGTGCCCAGTAAATGCTTGATGCTTCCATGGCTCTTCAAGTTGAGAGAAATTTTTAAAAATCTAGTATAGAATTGCAAACTTTAGCAAAAAAAAAAAAGAGAGAAGGGGTATAATATGTTGAACTTGTCCTACACCACATTTGGGTCATATTTATCTTCCAAAGGGTCCATTGTTTGTCTGAAGTGCAAACCTACCTAGGCATCTTGTGTTTTTTTTTTCTGGCAGCCCTAACCTAATAAGCCATCATTTTATGCTAAGGCAGTAGTTTCCAAACCTGTCTGGGAAGCTTCCTGGAAACATCGACCCCAGGGCTGCACCCCAGACAGATTGATTCGGCCTCTAGGTTCAGGGCCAGCTGCTCTGTGACTCTGTGCGTTGCTTGGGTTTGGGGGGCATAGTGCCGGGGGTCTCAGGACATGTCCAGTAGCATCATCCCAGCTCCGACCAGCGGGGAACCCACTGCCTGCCCTGGAGATCTCTGACTTTTGGGGGTAACTCCCCTTGTCCTCACTTCTATGGGCAAAGAAACAGTAGCCCAGCTGCTCCCACCTGGCCTGGCCCAACGCCGTTAGTCCCAACTCCAGGTGGCGGGTAGAAAGGGGCAAGGGACTGAGACTGGGGGGGCCACACCAAGCACCGAGCCCCTAATTCGCCAGGTGCCAGGAGTGGGTCTGCCAGGCACAGAGAGGTAGCCCCTACCCTCCTATCCCAGCATCAGACACCCCCTTTCCAGGCTGAGGCAGCGGGGGGCCCTCAGGGAACACCACCAAGAGAAGCAGCTGAGCGGTCCCCTTCCCTCCTCAGCTCGCCCTCCCCAAGGTGACAGAGACCTGCATTTTGCTCATCCTGACGGTTCAAGTGTTTCATCCATCAGTAAAGAAGGGAGATGCAGGGGGAAGGGGGGAAGGGGGGAAGGGGGGAAGGGGGGAAGGGCGGGTTTTGTCTGGTCTGGCAGACACGCAGGTGGGCACCTAGCTCTCCCTAGGGTGGGGCAGCAGACCACTCGGGGCTGTGTACGGGCTACAGGAAGTCAGTGGGGTTATCTCGGGGAGGAAGTCAGAGGAGGCCCAGGGGGAAGGAGGAGCCTTGGTGAGAGAAAGGAGGGCCATTCGAAACAAGGCGCTCTCCCATCCGGCCCCCCATAACCCGCCTTCAGGTGGACACTGCCTGGCCAGCTCCCACTGGGGAGTGGGCCTCCCCAGGCAGCCCCAGGCCCAGGTGGGCTCCCCACCTGTTTCCTGCAGGGACACCGTACCCCCAGTTTGGGCCACCGGTTGTCCTGACGGCCCCTCCAACCCTGTCCTTGTCACAGCTTTGATCCTCCCACAGCCTCCAACCCCCAGGACAAGGAGGGTCTCCAAAGGACAGAGGCCCGGGGCGGATGTGAAAGGACCCTTTCTCCCACCCTGAAGACCCTGTTGTCTCGGGTGCTCACAGGACCTCTTCTCGTGGAAGAAGGCGCAGAGGAGATCAAAAAGCAGCTGTGAACGAAGTGCCTCCCTCTGCTGTGAAATGATAGCACGTCCCCTAAATCCCAGATGGTCCCCCAAGATCGCCTCCTCCCCCACATTCTGAGGCCTCTGAGGATTCTGTAGAGACCACTGCAGAGGCCCAAGGTCCAACATCAGTGGACCTCCCCTGTCACCTAGAACCCCCTCCATCCTGGGAGGACAGACTGTGGCCACCCTGCC